CAGCACTCTGTTTTTCAACACAAACATGGACGATTCTGACGATGAAGGCCAGGTAATTCATTGCGTCTCCTTTTTGGATCCCTGATTTCTTCATCATCTGAGGTGTTTGTTTGTGCATCAAACAGTTGCTTGTATTCATAGTTTTGTCCCAATTCCATCTTCATGTTGCTATAAATTATCATTCCCAGTTTTCGCGCCGCTCCGCTAGGAACGCCTGGCACTATGACACACTAAGTGCAGACTTGGCCTTTCCGGAAGCCCGAGTGACAAGCAAGCTATTATTATTAATAAACTAGTGGTAATCAAAGATTTATAGAGCAGCGCGTTCACGCGCGGTTTTTGCATGTCTGGTTTACTTTGGTGGTGTTCGAATGCCTCGATAGAAACTAAGTTTGATCGAATGTCAGATAACGATCTGCACGTGAAGTTGAACTAGCGATGAATAGATTATAGCCTGCGGTAAAAGTATTTTTAATTGCGTTCGACGAAGTGGAACGCAAACCTAATTTTGACCTGTGGCTTTTCAGAGTTGGTTTCCCTGTGCACGGTTCTAGGCCGAAAAAAACACATTCCTGTAAGGACACCAAAATGACCACCCCGCTTGATTTTTGCAGGGGCATGTCACAGCCAGTAACCTGGTACCGTTTAATGCTAAGACATGTGATGAGATATTTGGCGAACATGTCAGTATGTGAGTAGGCCATGTGAGCTCGTCTTTCCGATGGATCTTTTTTTGACTTCTTTCCATTCAGTCGCTGTACGCCTCGCTATTATGTGCTCTCAGCGTTNTCTGCACGTGAAGTTGAACTAGCGATGAATAGATTATAGCCTGCGGTAAAAGTATTTTTAATTAATTAAGTATTAACTTGTACTGGACAAAAATTTTCCAGGATATGCATCTGAACTGTTCAATTTCAGATCGCCAACACTTGTAACAAATATTTCTAGAGACAATAAAGTTTTGACCAGCGACCCCGCAAGACAGCGGTCGTGTCGCCAAATGTTTTCGAGTTATTTTTATCGGCGCGTCGGGTATGTTACGGGTCAATGGGTGAGTGAGAGATGTATATATGTCACACCAATCAGATAGGATCTACTATAAACAACCAATCAAATTTCTTGTTGTGAAGGTAAATAGTATGTGAGGAGATTTGATCCCGATAGAGTTCAGAACGGCCATATTTATTCTTCTGTAAAAGAGGAGGAATTATTCATGTATTGGGCTTATTTCGACATCTTCTGAGGCGAGGATTTTGTGGGCGAGTTTGATAAATATTTGCAATTGGATAATCAGTCAAAGAAACATAGTGTTTGGCATATAACTACGAGCATGCAATGAAGGGTGAGCTTTTCCCATGAGATAAAGTTTTCAATTAAATGAGTCTTAGCCGCTCTGCTACTAGGTTTAAGATTTGAATGATAAGAACA